TCCTCCAGACACTCAGACCACCCAGCAACCAGTGTGGCCCACACGGGCCAGCGAGCCTGCCCACGAGCCTCTATTCCAAATGTCTGACATGCTGTTCCTCTGACATCTTAGGACATCTTAGGATCTTAGTTCTGGTACCTCTCTCCCAGGAAGCCTTCCCTGACCTCTAACAACATACCATGATGTAACTACAATACATTGCAACCTTACGATGCCATGCCATCCCATAATGTAGTCACTCACTTCTCAGTCTACTGCATTGGACTGACCCAAGGATGGGTGAGACAGTTCAGCTCGGGTCATCTGACATGTACTTGAACTCTTTCTAGTATCACATGCCGTAGGATGACCATCTACCACTTGACAGTGCTGAATCGTTGAGAACAATTGCTTAATCCTCCTTTGCCTTGGTTTCCTCAGCCCCCAAACTAAGATAGTACGAACGCCTCCTCATAGGGTTGATACAAGAATTAAATGAATTAATCCACGTAGAACTCTCAGGACAGAGTCTGGCACCAAACAAGTCCTCCACATTATTAACAGTTGTTATTACTGTATCTGTTAGTAAAACAGATGCCTGAAATAAAACCTGATTTAGCAAACACCATTTCCTCAACTGGAGAAGCCAAAATAGCAGTGAAGAAAACACAGAGTGCGCTAAGTCTATCCTATTTCCTTAGTTTTCGTATATGAAAACAGGAGAGAAGGCAGCAAGTTTGCCAAAGTGTTGAGAATCCCATAGAAGCAAACGAAGAGGCTCCAGGGAGGGACTTTTAGAACAACGATGAACTGTATCAATTGTCAACACATTCCGCAGCTGAAAGCTAAGAAGGTCAGCGCTGTAGTTCCCTTGGCTTAGCATTATAAGCTGTGATTTTTATTTTCCTAATTTAAAAAAAGAAAGAGAAAAAAAGCCTTTTGAACATCCGCTCCCTGTGTAAATTCAGAGCTTGGGCCATGGCAAACCACAGAGCAGAAATGTTTATCTTCTCCAGGCTGGCTTGGCAGGCCCTGCTGGAGGGGTTTGAGATACAGCTGTGTTCATCTTCTACTCACTGTCAACACGCAAGCATCCCAACCACAAAAGACAGCGGTAATAAAAGGATGCGCTGGAAGCTAAGATACGCTGCGGTTTTGTTTGGAAATTGAGGGAGTGAACAGTCAGGAGTAGTGGCAGGAAACTATAAACTTCACACTAGACAGCCAAGAACAGGCCAGAAACTGCCAGGCAGTGTGAATTCTACAGGAAAATTGCAGAGACCACAGAGGGAGACAGGGCAGAGGTGGGATGAGGCAGCCTCTCGGGCCAGGGAACAGGTGCTGCCAGTTCCGTCCTCCGTGCTGAGGAGAAAAGGGTGGTGTCCTCCGGGAGTAAAGAACGTACTAGCTTTGCTCCATGGATAACAGGAGGAAGAAACCCCCAGAAAAAGTCAAGTGGGGGTGACAGAAAATGCAGCCTTAGAATGAACATGGGGCCTGAACCCGCTGTAGTTTATATCATCCATTTCTAAGTCAATAACAGGAATGGTATTTTCTGACCTTGAAAGGGCCCTTACAGATTATCTGATCCAGTGGTCCCCAAACTTGGATGCAACCCCTCCCCCACGTCACCTGGGGTGCTTGTTAGAAACACTGGTGACTGAAATGGAAGGTGACCAGGGGCTGGGAGGAGGGCGGTAGTGAGGAATTACTGTTTAATGGGCACTGAGTTTATGTCCGGGAGGATGAAACAGTCGTGGAGATGGATGGTGATGACGGTTGCACAACATTAATGTATTTAGTGTCACAGAACCGCACACTTTAAAATGGTTAAAATGGTAAATTTTACGTATATCTTACCACAATAAAAAAAAAAATAATAACCTGGCAAAGCCCAAGGGAAAAAAATGCTGGTTATGGGGCCCCTCCCAGAAATCACCCCTTTTTAAAAGGCACCACAGTGATTCTGATAGCAGTGATATGAGCACTATGCTCTAAAAATGGTATTTTGGTTATTAAGAAATGACTTCTCTCTCAGAGATACACACTGGAGAATTCAGGAGTGAAATGATACGCTGTGTTCACTCCAAGACTGATCGGGGCAGGGATGGTGTCAGTGGTTTAGATGAAACAAGAGTTGGTAACTCTTGATGCTGGGGATGGACACACAGGGGATCCTTATAGTTTTCTCCTTTTTGAAATAGGTTTGAAATTTTCTGATTTAAAAAAAGTTTAAAGAAAGACTTAGCCAGGTAGGGGCCGTTCCCAACCTAGAGGGGAGTGTGCAGGCAGGGGTGGAGGTGAGTGGCAGCCTGTTGCAGGCAAGGGACAGCCACCAGGTCACTATGGCTGGAGGGGCCCATTCAAGGCAAAGAAAGGAAGTGGCCAGAGATGGGGCTGGGCAGGAAGGGTGATGTCCCACAACGTCCCACTGGCCTTGTGAATAAGCATAAACCTTTGGGTGCTGGGGAAACATCGGGATGTTCTGAACGTTGAAAAGAGAATCAGATTTGTGCCCTAGCTGCATCACTGTGGTGGCTGTGTGGATTTGAAGGGGGCAGGTGAGGATTAGAGAGCTTTTGTAGCTGTGCTGGTCAGTGATTTCAGGACCTGGACAGGATGGTAGTCGGGATGGAGAGAAGGAGCTAGAACCAAGAAAGATTTTAGCAAATACAAGTGGTTAATCGCATGTAAGGGAAGAATGAGAAAGAGGCAAGAATGACTCCAGGCTCTTAGTCCAGGGAACTGGACAGACAGCAGTGCTGAAAACCAAGACCCGACATGCAGCAGGATTAGCAGCTGCTGCATAGCTGTCTTCTGAGAATGGCGGATCCTGGGAGGACTCAACATTCTCTAGACTGAAAACTCTACGACTTTCCTTGCATGACAACCACACGCTCCCTCTCAGCTGCTCAAATCTCTTTCTTTCTATAGATTCCTTCCTTTACAGGACACTAGGAGATCAGAGTTGAGGGAGAAGGTTCTAGTAGCATTTAGCCTAATTCCTTCCTTCTCGAGTTGGGAGGTCTAGAGATGTTAATTAATTTGTCTAAAATCCTAATCATTTTTTCAATATGTTTAAGGTTGCCCTGACTTCAAAAGGAAAGACAACACGTACGTACACACAACCTTTTCTATCAGCTTACTACCAACCTCTACTCCGTCTTCAGTAGTCAAATCCCACGGCCCCTTTTCCTTCTTATCTAGAAATTCATTTCTTAAATCTCCACAATGTTTCCTCTTCCACCCTTTAACTGTCACTACTCTAAAATTAACCAAAAAAGCCTCTCTTGCCAACCAAACCAGCCTTTCCTCACCCCTCATGGTGTATCCTGTCTTTCTGTGCGATGTGAATTCTATGTGCCACTCGCCTCCTTAAACCCTTTTTCAGCTCCCTGGTCTCTGTAATGACGAGTCTCCTGGGTCTCACTCCTTCCTCTCTCCTCTGCCTCATTCCATCACCACCTGCCTCTTCCGAGTCTCCTTCCTCCTCTAGCTCTCTGAGCTTCCAACACTCTCCTCTTTGTATTCAGTCTCTGGGGCCGTTCACCCTCGTGGCGTCTACGGTTACTTCTGCGGCCATACCCAGGCCTGATGGCAGTCCACGTGGAAAAGGCTGTGACGTGCCAGCTCTGTTGGCCCATGTCTCCAGCAGCATGGCGCCTTCTCAAGAAGTAACCCACACTCCCTGGGGCTCACTGCTGGGCTGCACCACAGTGACGGGGAGACTGACCAACGACTGTGCTCTGGAAGAGCAATGCGGTTGGTGTTCATGCCTCCTCAGACCCTGCTCAGGGTTTAAGGGATCTCAAAATAGCAGTGCATGAAAATGCTGAAAAGGTTAAGGATGATGAACTCGGAAAAGACAGAGCTCTCGGGATCCATGACAGCTTTCTTGAAATTTGTGAAAACTCATCACACGGGATAGGGTGCAGATGTGTTTTTTCTCTTTCAGAGAACAGAAATTCGGAGGTACATTTTGTCTCTACAGCAGAAAATTTCTTGCAAATAACTCAGGTTGTTCCACACAAGTGCGAGTCGTCTCTTAATGCAGTGAACTCTGCCCATTGCTGAAGGTGCTGAAGAAGAAATGTCTGCTCTGAAAGGGAAATTGGCCAGATGGCGGCTGAGATCCCCTTTCTTCTAGTGTTCTGTGGATTGCTCTCTTTGCAGATAGCTGTCAGCAGCACAGGCTTAACGGGCTCAACAGGGAATCAGCTGTTCTGTCCAATTACGTGAGTCTATCCTTGGTGTTGTTCTTCTTGCAGACTCCTGGACTGGAAAGCTCAAAGCACCTTTGATTCCTTGCTCTCTTTTGGTCCCTATATCTCTGCCTCCAGGTTCCCGCTTTGATTTGCTCTTGATTCTTAATTTCCACTGATGCCCTTGCAACCTAGACCTGTCAAATCATATGTGGATGGTAGTCACTGGATTTCTGAGTTGGAATAAACCCTGGAGAGAACAAGCCCCAATGTATTCCTTTTCTTGGTAAGGTGAATAAGACGCATAAAAATTAAAGACTTAAAATTTAAAGACTAATTTAAAATTAAAGGTTTTGTAGTTACTAGGGGTGGTTCTAAGCTCTGATACTCACAGTACTATGTTCTTTGCATGTCCCCACACCATAGCGGTCCCAGGCTTTCTCAGGCCACGAATGCATTTCATGGCCATGACCTGACCATGGAAGGATTGGTTTATTTGTATAATACTGCGATGGTCCTTAGTCAAATCACATGTATTAATCTAGAAATTATCCCCAGTCTTCTAAGTGTAACAGACCACTGGGTCTGCTTTTCGTTAAATAACAAGTTCTTTTCTGTGCTTCTCACAGACGCTGCCAGAGTAGGACTGCTGAATTGTGAAATAAAGAAAAATTCTAGCCAGCTCAAGCTCTCTAGAGTCTGGAAATCCAGGTCATTTGGATACTAAATGTATCATTGTACTCCAGTGAGTACAAAAATTGTATATATCATGTTAACTGGCTATGCCCTGATTATTCCCATAAAAGGTCCTGGACTCACGTTGGTTCTTCTGTTGCTATTCTGGTCTCTTCTAGCTCTTGTGCTTGTTTCAGCCAAGGTAATTTAGCTTCCACTGGACTTTTTTCTAAGAAAAAGGAATATAAACAACAAGCTTAATTACTATTAATCGTTAAGGAGTTGGGTCCATGATTATATTGGGTGAAGATTTCATTAGTAAAGAGGTCATGTTTTTCAAAGGCAAGTTGAGTTCTTTTAGCACAGTACATTAGGTGGCTTCTGGAATGAATAAAAATTTCTGCCATATTTTTAAAAATTAACACATTATCGAAATGCAACCAAAAGGATCCCTTGATACAGTTGAATATGTTCTCCGAGTTAACATAAAAATGCCTTTCTGTTGTTTGCACATTAAAGCTCTTACTTCAACCGTATCAACTTGACTTCTTTTGCCACAAATTTTGCCCACTGGATGCAGAAATTACAAAAGAAAAGCAAATAACACGGGGGTTGAGAACTTTGGGAGAGAGTCCGTGTTAAGTTTCCTCAAACTTTTACTGTTGTTGTCGTTGTTGAGGGGGATAAGTACCAATCACACCTGGCCCACATGCAGGAGCTAATCCATTCCCCTTTCTCTCCTTGGAAGACCCCTTAGTCAGAGACAATCTAGCTATGCAGTGAGAAAGGGAATACTTTGGGGCTGCTTCAGGGAAATTACAGATGCTACAAAAGTGACTTTGAAAGTATCCTCAAGTGCAGAAGGAAGGGGGAAAGGCTTCACTGACGGAGTTATGTACTTGTCTTGGCAACAAGGGATTTTTCTGCAAGATAGATACAGTCTGACAAATATTTGTTGAATGGTTAATTATGAGGCTATTTGTATGGATAATGAACCCAGAAATAACAAAGGAGTATTTTACCATCCTCTCGAAAGTACCAAGGAAGAGTCCTTCTATAATAGTAATAGGTGGGAATCATCTTTTTTTCCATTTCAGGAAGGAAGGTGCTTGTCATGAGGATTGGTAACACCTTGCTAACTTATATATGAATAATGTGCACAGAGGGGGGCACATATTAGAGAGATGATGCCAGGTCTTCCTGCCCATGGGTGTTACCCATTTTGCTAATTCGTGGAACAAATGGGAACTACAGGAGAAATCATAAATGCCTCCACAGACCTAGGAAGTCTTCATTCATTCCATAAAAATGACATCCTTCCTGCCTCAAGAAACCTACCCTCCAGGGAAGAGGTGTGTATCATACAAAGTTCTGCGGGAACAGAGAAGAACAAGGACCTTGGGAGAAGAGAATAACCTTCTCCTGCACCTCTTCCCTCCCTTCTTTCTCTTCCTCATTCTCCTTTTCCTTCCCATCGTTCTTTTCCCCCTCCTCCCTATCCTTCTTCTTTTTCTTAAAGGCACTGCTTCAGATTATTAAAGGGACTTTAATTTAAGACTTCAGTCTTAAAGGGACTGCTTCAGATTATTTTCTGTCCACCAAGAAATGTTAGTACAAGCCTGGACAGACGGGAGCTCTTCTACATGTACTGAATCAACAGGAGCTCGGTTTTTCCCTCCAGGAAATAAACCCCACATGCCCAACTTCTCTACCTAAGTGCACAGGTCTCACAATCTACCAATACAATAATTTTCATAGCAAAGCTATGGAAGTGAAATGGAAGTGCTGCCATATCAGAATGAGAGCTGAAAAATACCATTTGATTTGAATTAAAAACACACCACACACTTACCTTTTGGTTTATAACACGGGATGGGAATGACACATTCCTCCTTGATATGCAACTTCAGCTGTGGGTTGCAGCCTCCAACGTGCTGTCCACGGTGGTTGATACACAGAACCACCCGGTAACGCAACCCTCGGCCACAAGTCACTGTGCACTTCAAAGAAGGAAAGAGAAGCCAACGAATTTCTTTTTCATCAAGAGATCCACAAAGGCATTATTCTATCACATGCAAAGGAGAGCGTAAAACACCCCATAAAACACCTTTAGACAAATATTATGCAAGGAGGGGTGTGGAGGCTGATTTTCTGTGATACTTGTGTTTCCGGGCCCCTTTCTTGCATAATCTCCTTCCAATTCTCAATTCAAAAAGTATTGAAGATGAGATCACAGTGCAAGAAAAACAGAAATGACCTGAAATCTTGCTGCTCAAATACGAAAGAAACTTGGTATAGGTATTCTGAAATCAGAATAAAAATGTACATGAAATTACCCAAAACAATTTATGAAACTGAAAGAAAACTTCCAAACTATCAATAAAAAATAAAATAAAATTTCAGTCAACCACGCCAGAAGGTCTTTCTGTTCTGTCTATAGAAATTGATCTTGAAAAACTGTTGTCATATGAAGAAGCCATCAAACAATATAGGAAAACATACTATAGATGTATCAGGCAGTTAAAATTAAAAAACATATATTATGCTACTTTTTCTGAAATTTTGTGAAGTTTGTGTTGTCAGCATTTTTATTCTTGAGTTATTTGTTTAAGATTTGGAAGTTACTCTTGCCTATGAATAGAATATTTTCATGTCATATGAAAATCTAGAATATCTTTTCAATTTATCCACATATGTTGGTGAGTATGTATGTGTACATCTATCTTCTTTAATTAATAGACAATATTTAGGACCATTTCAGGTTTACAGAAATATTGAGGAGGTAGTACACAGAGTTCCCATATGTTCTGTCTTCCCCCTCCCGCTTCTTTTCCCCATTATTAACAACTTGCCTTAGTGTGGACAGCTGTTACAATTCATGAACCAATATATCATTATTAACTGAAGTCCAGAGTTCACATTAGTGTTATTGTCAGCTTTTAAAAATTTGTAATTTCTTGCAATTCCTTTTCTTATTCTAAATAAACATTCTTTTGGATACCCAGTATTTGTGTTTTGTAGTCTTTTTTCTTAAAGAGTCACCTCCAATCTGTATAAACTTCAGAGCGCACCAATCCTGGCTCCACCCCTGGGAGGGGCTGAGAGTTCTTCATTACCTTTGGTTACCTGCTACATGACAGGCACTGTCCTGTATATGTGATCTCACTAATCCCTGCAGGTCAGTAGCTTCATTCTCATTTAACAGATAAACAACAAACGGCCCACCACCTAAGAACCTTGCTCGAGGTCCCACAGTTCCTAATAGGCAGAGAGGAATTCCACCCCAGAGCCTCCTGTTGCCACAGCTGTGACCTAGCCACTGCTTTATGGAGCCTGGAGACTCTTCTCAGTCTCTAAATGCTTTGCACCCAACCCTGCTGAGGCCCGGGTATCCTGGGCACCAGTTTCAAAGACATAGTTCAGAGGACATGGGGGCCTTTCTCAGTGTACACACATATCAGAAAGGCAGAACATTGGGAAACCTCTCTCAGTTAATCACGCCACTCTTGAAACCACTGAACAAAAACTATAATGAATTAAGTTTGAGATTAGACCCTGTTTCTGGAAAACTGACTCACCTACCCCCAAATTCATCAATTTGATATATCTATTATCTTGAGAGGCTGTTTTATATTAGCCCAGACAGAAGAAAAAAATCTGCTCAAAGAGAGAGAGAATGAAACAAGGTATAAACTATACTACGACTGGTCAATACAAAAGAGTATTCTCTCCTGCTAAGTAGCCCTTCTGGGAAGCTGGACCCTTACGCCAGCGATGCTGTCAGTGTTTGCAACAGTTCCAGAACTCCTCGGTGGAGCTGAACATATCCTCAATGACAGCAAATCCTCATCACTGAGAATGTATTTGATTTTTGAAGTGAGAAGTATTAAAAGCCAAGTATGGTGAATGAGATGAGCTGGTTTACAACCCTTTGTTCTGACACTGTAAGTCATGGTACAGCCATGAGAGTGACAAAGGGGAGGGTATAAAAGTCTAAAGCCAACGCAAAGCATATGGCTGGGACTTACAAGGGCTGAACTAAAGCTCTGCAGGTTGTAGAAATTACCTTGATTGGGGGCTGAAAAAGTTAACGTCCCTAATGACCGGGTAACAAATCCTTTCATAGCTGAGGAAGTATTCTTTGCTTTCAGCAAAATTCCAAGAGGACTTAATCGAATTGCCAGCTGATAGAACATTAAAAAATAATTTTTGGTGATAGACTATCATATGAATTTTGGCATATAAGTCAGGAGCTCAAAGAACTGAATGACCTTGCTAAAATAAATTCCTTCCATTGCAGCCCATTTACTTACGAGAGCAAGCTTTCCCGGTGTGTATACGCACAACAAACAAAATAAGAAATCAACGGTAAAAATTAACAAAACTATCGCTGAGCACACGTCTCATTCTGGCAATGAATACAGGGACTATTTTTTCAGCTCCACTCACCTTCTATAAAGGCTGATTTCAAATGAAAATGTACTTTTTATGTGTTATCATTATTTACCAAAATTTGAAATATATTTATGTTGTTTTGATTGTGCACTAAAATTAAATTTAACAATAACTCAATTCAGGGGAACATTTTCAATACTTAAAGCTTTTTTTTTTTTTTTTTGAGACAGAGTCTCACTCTTTTGCCCGGGCTAGAGCGAGTGCCGTGGCGTCAGCCTAGCTCACGGCAACCTCAAACTCCTGGGCTCAAGCGATCCTTCTGCCTCAGCCTCCTGAGTAGCTGGGACTAAAGGCATGCGCCACCACGCCCAGCTAATTTTTTCTATATATTTTTAGTTGTCCGACTAATTTCTTTGTATTTTTAGTAGAGACGGGGTCTCACTCTTGCTCAGGCTGGTTTCAAACTCCTGAGCTCAAACGATCCGCCCGCCTCGGCCTCCCAGAGTGCTAGGATTACAGGCGTGAGCCACCGCGCCCGGCCAATACTTAAAGCTTTATGGCCACAGGAAACTAATATAAATTAATTTCAATTACTACACATATTTTTTCATAAGTAGAATAATATTATCAAGAAAATACTTTAAGGCATAAAAATACAAGATATTAGGATAAAATTCTATGGGGAAAGTAGATTGAAAATGTGAGTTCAAAGGGGAAAATATGTACAATTTCCAAATTGTTAAAGAAGAACTTGTTCATGTATTTTTTAAATGAAAGATGGCAAAGGATAGAAATCATCACGGCATTTAGACTCCACTGGATGGAGTTTTTAAAATGTAATACTTCTATTTTAAAACGCCAGCATTCACATGTTGGAAGTTGTATTATTTGTAATTATTTAAATTTGTGATAAGAAATTTTAGATGTCAACCTCAATATATGTGAAGGGGTATGTAATTTTCTAAACTTTTAGTGGGTATATGAACAAAAAAGAATTGATAACTTCTTCCCTAAACAAGTTCGAATGAAGTTTTACAGGGTGATGACATTTAGTCTGAGGATATCAGAAAAGACTAACGTGGATCTTCACCCAGCAAACTCAATTATCCTTCAAGTTCAATTTCAAGAGCTACCTCCTTTCTGAAGCCTTTCCTGGCTCCTTCAGGTACTTTGTGCCCCATGGAAGTAATGGACGCCTGGTACCACTCATGCGCAGTGTTACACTGTATCACAACTGTTTGCATGCAGTCTCTGCAACCGGATTGTAAGCTTTTGGAAGGTAGCATCAAGTTTTATTTACTTCCTAGCATGGTAGCTGACAATAAACAGATGAATAGATACACTAATGCATACACATGATGAACTGAACGTGTAGAGATCACTCAAAAGAGCTACAGAAACTTGAGCCAATTATGTCTCTCTCTCTAGAAAATGAAAAGATTGAGATTAAAATACTAAATACCAATGCTTGCATTTTTCATCCTTGACTAATCCAACTGCACTTTATTTGTTCTGCGGATTTACTCAGCCATCTCTCCAGGAAGGGGAAGACTAAGCTAATCTGACATAAAGTTTTGTCATACCTCTGGGACGTTTTCCTTCTTCTCTTTTTTTTCCCCCACAAACCGACCCCACGATGATTTCCAAAGAGGCTTCCTACCTCTGGTGTTTCCCAGTGTTAGGCTATCTTTCCTCAATTACTTAAAATATATTATTTTCTTCAAAAAAAATTGGAAGCTTCTTAGTAACTACTGGATCAAGGACACACTTCTCAAGTCACACCAGCATTTCCACGGTAACCTTCTAATTCTTAGTCACATGAGTTCTATCTTCAATCTAGATGAATTAGGGGCTTTTTCAACTTCTAGTCACTTCATGTCATTCCTGCCTTTGCTCAGCCACCCCTGCTTGGCCATCTCCCACGGGGATGGTCTCCCCAGGTTCTTGCTTGCTCAAATTCTATCTTCAAGGACGGGTTAAGAACTATAGGGGCAACAAAGACTTTCTGATCGTCTCTGCTTCAACTTCTGTTCCTACCAGATGTACTTAATATTAATTACATAGTAACATTATTATTAATGTCCTTAGGATTAATTATTTTTACCTACATTGATCCTTGTGGTCTCTCTTACATTGTCCTCCAACTGTCGTCTTCTCTTTTTTTTATTTCAGAATATTACAGGGGTACAAACGCTTTGGTTACATAAATTGCCTTTGCACTGCCAAGGTCACAGCTACAACGTGCCCACTCCCAGACAGTACCCACCACACTTGTTAGGTGTGAATTTACCCATCCTTTCCTCCCCCTTCCAGGAAAATCAGCAAGAAAAAAATCAAACCACCCCATTAAAAAGTGGGCAAAGGACATGAAGAAACTTTTCAAAAGAAGACAGACTAATGGCCAACAAACATATGAAAAAACGCTCAACATCTCTAATCACCAGGGAAATGCAAATCAAAACCACAATGAGATATCACTGAACTCCAATGAAAATGGCTTTTATCAAAAAGTCCCAAAACAATAAATGCTGGCATGGAGAGATAGGAACACTCATACGCTGCTGGTGGGACTGCAAACTAGTACAACCTCCAAGGTCTTCTTAAGCCCTTTGGGAGTAGGGACCATGCTCACATGCAACTTTTGTGTCCCCACACTGTAAGGTACTATGTTAGGCACACAGGAAAAACCTTAAAACCTGAGATTTAATTAAAAGTGGCATGTTCTCAAATCTTACCTGAGACCACTCCATGGCGATCCACTTGGGGCAATCGAACAGGTTGCAAGTTTGCATAACCTTGGGTTTGGGCGCATACATGCACTTCCATTCTTCCACCTGCAGTATCTCTCCATGCATGGACTCCTCTACACACACGAAGCTCCGTCTCTGAATCCCTCCTCCACAGGACACGGAACATGCAGTCCAAGGATTATGTTCCCAGCTCAAAAGCAAACAAATAAAAATAAATTATTTATTTGTTGCTTGTTTGTTTCAAGTTTGCAAAGATGGTTGCAAAAAGTATGCCCTCAAAGCTATCAGTTCTGGTTCAGCTGAAAGAGCGCAGGACTTGAAGTCATAAGACTTTACTCTTAACTGCCACAAACTATCTGTAGTCACAAGTACTTAACTCCTCTGAATCTGAGGTTTCTGTCAAATGGGAATAACACACCAGCCCTACTTACCCTTCACAGGGCCATTGTGAGCATTAAATCAATTAAAATACAGAGTGTGAAAGCATCTTTAAACTGCTTCTGAACTATAACATACTAATGGACAATGTTCCTAGAGGATCATAGAAATTCAACCATACTAGTCTTCTAGGAGTGAAAGGGGATTCAAATTTCTGATCAATTGCAACACTTGAGCTTCAGCTATAATCCCCTGGCTGTCCCACATACGCTCACCATCTCTAGTGATGGGAAACATGGCCTTGCCCATCAGAGGCAGCCTAGTTCATCTAATTCTCAGAAAAATACTTCTTATTGTTGAGAGGAAGTATGTTTTCCCTTAGCTCTGCAAAGCATCGGTATCTCTTGTACATTTTAGGCTATTGCTACATATGCCACAGTTCCTTGCAAACTACTCAGAGCAAATTACAAAAAGAAAAAAGAAACATATAACTCACCGAGGAAGAGGCTGGAAGTGGTCATAGGGCATAATCTCTTTAAATCCATCACTACAAATGAAATCATCATGAGAATATCATTTCTAAGTCAATTAATACATTTATTTTTTGATGAATTAATTTTTTATTTCAGAATATTACAGGGGTACGAACGTTTGGTTACATATATTGCCTTTGCCCCACCCAAGTCAGAGCTGCAAGTGTGCCCAACCCCCAGACATTGTGCACCGTACCCATTAGGTGTGAATTTACCCATTCCCTCCTCCCCCTCCCACCTGCCCGATGCCCTGTGGATGTTATTAATACTTCCATATGTGCACGTAAGTGTTGATCAGTTAGTACCAATTTAATGGTGAGTACATGTGGTGCTTGTTTTTCCATTTTTGTGATACTTCACTTAGAAGAATGGGCTCCAGCTCCATCCAGGATAGTACAAGGGGTATTAGTTCATCATTTTTTTTTTTTATGATTAATGTGGAGATCCCTCAAAGAACTCAAAGTAGAACTACTATTTGATCGAGCAATTCCACTACTGGGTATTTACCCAAAGGAAAAAAAGACATTCTATAAAAAAGACATCTGTACTAGGATGTTCACAGCAGCACAATTCGCAATTGCAAAAATGTGGAAACAACCCAGGTGCCCATCAATACATGAGTGGATTAGTAAAATGTGGTATATGTATACCATGGAGTACTACTTAATTAATACATTTATTAATTAACTAATATAAGATTTGACATCCCAAGAGACAGAGCTCTTTTAAATTGAAAACTAAAAATCCTGAGGGTTATCAACCATTTCCCTAAATTCAGCCACCATCTCTTTAATTTTCGAGAACATCTCTGACAAAAACCATCCTCAGTTTTATATGAAAATATAGAAAACAGAACTGGTGGTATATTAATCAAAGGAAAATATTTCTCTCAATTGAGATAAATTTATTCCTCTTATTAATATCATGATTCTGATAAAATATATTAATGATATTAACACACTATCATAATAGTAGAATCCCTAGAAAACCACATTTTTTCACAGAATGTGTCCTTTGAAAGGCCTCTATTAATAACTAGTTCAACCAGGATTACAGGAAAAGGGCAGTTTAGTGGCAGGAAATGAAATCCACCAAGAACGCTTCTTTTCCACTTGCATGCACTGCCCTAGCCAGCTGGCAGGTATCAGGGGATTCTGGGACTTGATACTGTGCTGTTATTTTAAGATATTGCAGTGAAGCCAGGAAACTTCCCCCGGCAATCCAAGTCAGCAGGTACTAAATTATGCAATGGGATATTTCACACATAGCTTTTTTGCTTTGGCATTAAGACTTTTCACTTCCTTGCACAATGCATTATTTACACTAAATTTTTTTTTCTTAAATTTGTTAATTTTTTATTTCAGCATATTACAGGGGTACAAATGTTTAAGTTACTTACATTGCCTTTGCCCCACCCAAGTCAGAGCTTCAAGTGTGTCCATCCCCCAGATGGTGCGCACTGCACCCATTAGGTGTGTATATACCCATCCCCTCCTCCCCGCCACCTGCCCTACACCTGATGAATGTTACTACTATATGTGCTCTTAAGTGTTGATCAGTTAGTACCAATTTGACGGTGAGTACATGTGGTGCTTGTTTCTCCATTCTTGAGATACTTCTCTTAGTAGAATGGATTCCAGCTCTATCCAGGAGTATACAAGAGGTGCTATATCACTACTGTTTTTTGTGGCTGAGTAGAACTCCATGGTATACATATGCCACATTTTCTTAATCCACTCACGTATTGATCAATTTAATGGGAACACTTCAAAAGTCAAAACCTGGTAATGGGTGACCCTGTTGAAAAGCTCAAATGGTGAGTGAGTGACATTTATGACTGGCAGATGGACTAGGCATTGTACTTGGGAGAAGGGATCTTTAAAATTGCATGTGCAGGAGATGCTCAAAAAGGGCTATGTGACAAGACGGAGCTAGACAGAATGACCGCGTTAGTAAAGGTGTCCTAATTCCTATTGACCACGGTTACAAACGTGAACGCAGGTCCTGCCACCAGTGTGTATTCAGACTCAGGAAATGGAAGTGAATAGCACTGGACAAGATTGGTAAGTCTCAGTTGCGGTTGATTTGTTCACGTTTAAAGTAAAACGGGTGTGGACAAGCACACAAACCTTGAGGGGCAGGGGTCCATGCTGCATTCCTTCAGTTTTGGTTTTGGTTTCACATTTTCAGGGTAGTAGTGGCAATAATGGTCAGGAACGACCCTCTTCAAGCGGATGTCCACACATTCCGCGGAATTGAGCTGATAACCTGAGGCAGTGCAAAAGGGAAATCTGAATACTGCAACGGTCTCACATTTACTTGGCAAAGTATGGTTTGCCACATGCTTTTTTCTTTCCTCTTTAAGAAACTTCCCTCAGTGATTCTCAATCCTGGCTGTACAACGGAACCACACGGGAGCTGTTAATATACCAGTACCCCAGTGCCCCATAAGTCAGAAACACTGTGGCTGGGGGCCAGGAAGTCAGTATTTTTAAGAAAAGATTCTCAGGTTCTCCTAAAATGCGAGGCCAAGACGGACAAAGACTGCTTGCACTGACTGTGGTACGCTTAGCATTTGTGACTAAAAAGCTACAACAGACTCCGTTTAAGACACATTTGGCCCTCAGGCGTGGGCTAGGCCAGTTAGTCATTCTCCTCGGTCCATGGGTCCATGTCCCACGTCCTCATTGTCATCACGGCACTGCGCAAGGCCCCTCCCTCATTTCCCTATATTTCCTCTTCTTCCCCCATTGCCACTCCCTTCCGACCCTCCCACCCCGACACCTCTTCTCATTTATTGCTTATATGTCCTTAAACACGCAACCATCCTATGTAATGTCCTGTGTGCGTGTTCTTAACTTGATAAATAATAGTGTGTTTTAAATCTTTTGTTTTCCTGCTTTTCTCCCTCTACATTATGCACTATCCTCGTGCTGGGTTTTGCTGGATTGAATATTTCTTTCATAATGTTTTATCGTTTGCACGCGCAGTTCCGCATTCTACTCATCTGCTGCCCTGGGGCACCTCCAATTCCAACAAACCTTCCAAATGGAGATTTAAGCCTGGTCTATATAGGGAGGAACAAAATCCGTTCCTGTATGTTAGATTCTGACATAACAGGTACATCCCAAATGCTACTATACACCCCACTATCTACCCTCCTCCCTCACAAGCCTGCAAAGAGGAAGGAATGGAAACTTACTCCTGATTCTATTAAATCTGATTTGTCTCTGATGCAAGTGAACATTCTGAATAGATGAGTGCTGTAAATTTAAAAAACAATTCACAAAATGGTGCTTCTATTTCTTGAAAGATGTGATTCAAGGTTTCCTGTCACTATATAAGAGTCATGTGAAGTTAAACTTTTTTTTTTAACAAACAGTAATTTTCCAAAACTAGAATGAGCTCTTCAGAAAAAAAAAATGCCCAAAGCCAAGCTCTCCACCTCAATCAATTGGTCTAACCTAAAAATACATTTAATGTCCTGATTGCTGAGAGGAATCTGATTTTATAAACCACTAGACAGCTTTCTGCAAGACATGGCTTGGATGTAAGCTAAGCGCAGAAGGGCGGACTGGTATGCGTTATAAAAAGCAAGGTCGAAACCACAAGAATGAAAATCCAAATGCAGTCCATAAAATGTTACTTGGGTGCCAGTATGTGCCAGAAATTCTACGCTATCAGATGGCGATGGCAATCTTGGTACTTTCTCCAGACGATCTCAAGTGTCCCACGTCGATGACTAGAGACAGGACCAGGAAAGTCCATCCAAGTACCCTTGGTACCTTAGAGACCAGGGAACTAATTTTCTTGATTATCCAAAAACCTCTGAAATGCCATCCACACAAATCATGTAGATTTCATTACTAATATAATTAAATCTCGGTAATGCTTTCCTTGTGGGTTTTATGCGTGTGTTTTTATTTCCCCCAAACAAGTACAAAATGAGATTACAGCTCCTTGAGTCAGAGAAAATATTTGTTCTAAATGGAAACACACTTCTAAGAGGAGGAGACAGGGAGCATTCAGGTGTTTATAATTTGGGGAGAGACAATTAATTTTTCCTCTTTAATTTTATCACAGCTTAGAGATAACAAAAAGTGAAAGAAGAAAGACAGATGGCCTTTCTATATTATGAGCAAACGTACTGAAATTCTACCAGTGCGCAATGACAGGCACCCCCAAAACACCTAAAATCTCTCTCCTGTGCTTACACCCACTGTTATCTTTGGGGACAATCTCACTGCTAAGTGCTCCCACACACATTTATGGTTCCAGCAGGACTGACTGTATCTTTCCATGGACACTCAAGTATGAGAAACACCTATTCTCCTCCCAAAAATTTAATCAACTGAACTTAGCTGAATCCTACTATAAAATGCACCCCTTGCCCCGGCAGAAAGCTGGTCTTCATCTTATGGGTCCAAAATGGGAATGTCTCTCTGAATAACTGTGTAAGAGCTAAGGAATAAATTAAAAAGAAAGAAATGTTTGAGTTGGGCATGGTGGTGCACACCTATAGTCCCATCTACTTGGGAGGCTGAGGAAGGAGGATTGCTTGAACCCAGGAGTTTGAGTCCAGCCTGGGCAACATAGCAAGATCCTGACTCTAAAAATAAAAATTAAAAAAATGTGAAAAAGAAAGAGATGTTTGGTTTTAGAATAAAAGAGCCCCTGCCATCTCTTTGCTTTCATTTTGGGGTCCACAAGAGAGTCTCATCTTCCCTGGAGCTACGTAGCCCACCAGACTTGAAGGTGATGGGATTCAGCTTTTGGGTGTAAACACACTTGCAGGTATCTGCAGGTATGTCCCACTCACTTCGAGAGCTTTCCATGGTGACCCGAGTTGTGTATGTGTCACATCACCCCTTACCAGGATCACTGAGAACTCCAGGAGGGGGACAGCTAGGGATCTGCATGCCATGCAGAAGCATTTCTGACAAAACTCAGGTTTAGATTCCTACGTAACAGATGCTTCCCAAATGCTCACTAATTGCACGATGCTCCTTGGCATATGTCCTCTCATTTTGTCCCCCACAGTGCTATCAGGGGGAGAGTCTATTTACAGATGAGAAAGTGAGGCTAAAAGACGTCCCAGGGCTGATTAGCAGCACGGCAAAAAGTGAATCCAGATCCTCAAATTCCAACTTCGCTGCTTGCTCCTCTAGGCCATGTAAACTCCGGCAGGCAGATTTTGGAGGACAGGATTGGCCAAGAAGTTTCTGAGGCCTGGGTTTGGAGGCCCAGCTTGCAGTCTCAGTTCCAAACAGGGCTTCATCAAATGTTTTTAAGAATTTTCCTCAGAGCCTGCTGGAGAGTCAGGGACTCAAGTATCTAAGAGCTTTCGCCTCATGAAAATGCTTATAGGCTGGGCACAGTGGGTTGCACCTGTAATCCCAGAATTTTGGGAGGCCAAAGTAGGAGGATTGCTTGAGCCCAGGAGTTTGAGACCAGCCTGGGCAACATAGTGAGACCCCATCTCTACAAAAAATTAAAAAAAAAAAAAATTAGCCAGGCATGGTGGCACATGCCTATAATCCCAGCTACTCATGAAGTTGAGGTAGGAGATGGCTTGAGCCCAGGAATTCGAAGTCGCAGCAAGCTATGGTTGTGCCTCTGCACTCTAGCCCAGGAAACAGAGTAAGACCCTGTCTCTAAACAAATAAATAATGAATAAAATTTAAAAAATAATAAAGATTCTTATAATGCTCAACAAAATTCAGAAGGAATTGAAAATAAACTGAGAATGGTAGAGCTGGCAGGAACCTAAAGATTATTTACCCCACTGTTGTTTTCTTGTATTTATTTTTGTGATTGTGTTCTATTTAAGACAAGAGATAATAGTTTTCCACTTAAGGTAGTAATATTAAATTATTTTTTGCCAGTATCTTTAAGTTGAAAAATGTCCTGTTAAAAGAAAATCCTTAAGTAAATAGTAACACAGGAATAACACAGATATGCAAAAATAGTGGCATTAATATGGCTATAGCTCGTATCCAAAGATACTGCTTTAGAGAGGCGGTGGTTCTCACTCTTGAGTGTGTACCATAACCTCCTGGAGGGTATGCACTGTTTATGAGCCCGTCCTTTACGCCCGTCCTTTAGGACCCGGATGCCAGCTGTACTGCTTACCAGCTGAACAACCCTAAGAACGTTATTCACCCCACCCCCCTGCCCAGCACTAGTTTATAACTATCCATTCTTTGATTTAAAAGATAATTTGAGAAAAAGAGAATCATTTCAACAGTGGCTTTGGCCACCTCCTCATTCGCGCCAGGGAGTCACCGCGTCTCCATATTAAATAGACCATTGTCTTCCACCTGAGCCTGCAAGATGTTTCTTTTGCAGCACATGCGTGGAGCCCCAGATTACACCCATCTCAAAACCTCCCCCAACTACCTATGAAAACTTTGAACTAAGCAGACTGTAAGTAGGACTTTCCCCTCACCGCTTGGTAGGGACCCTTTCTTGTTTTGGTGAGTCGATGCTCTCGCACTGGTGCAGAGATAAGGTAGAAATCTAATGTTGGAACCAACACCCCCATTAACTTCATCAGGCTGACCAAGTCGCTCCACCAAGTCACTTCTCAGTCTTCCATTGAAATTAAAAATAATACATGCTTTAAGGACAATAAAGAGAGATAGGCAGTAACACGTGGAAACACGTTTGTTTCCAGCTTTTTGCTAAAAGTAAAAGGTGTTTTCCAAATCTAGTTTTTCCCGTGTTCAAGAATAAAGGCAAATGATCACATTCATTAACGCCGCTGCATTCCAGGCTGCTGAGTCAGGTGCTGTGTGATTAGACATCTCTAATAACCACGTGGGTTTTAAAATCAGCTTGAAAAACACAGATGCATAACTTCTAACGCTGAGCTCTAAATAATCATGAACGAAGTCTGTGCCTCACCTCCTCCACATGTCACAGTGCAGGGAAAGAAGTCGGTCTGTCTCCACTGATGACTGATGGGCTGGTAAAAGAAGAACTGAACCACACTGTCTTTGGCCACAGTGTACCTGGTCTGGACAGAGAGAACTTTGATAACACATTTGCATACAATGAGCTAGTGCTTTCCACACCTTTCAAAATGAGATGGATATTCTTCCCCTATGTATACACCACACGTCTACCCCAACAAACCATGGTACACGAAGTTTCCAAGGATTTTAAGATGTGATAGCATTTCATTTAGATTTGTCATAAATAGGGGCTCATATGTCTTCAGCAAATCTCCCTGGAGCCATTTTTCTAGATAATTCCATGACTGTAAATGGGTTCACAAAAATGTAGGTGGATGTGTTTGTTTGTTTAACATTTTTTTCTTCCTGAAACATTTAATTTTAATTTTTGTGACAACAGAGATTGTGACTTAATCTGGGTTTGCTTAAAAACATAGCACATAATTGGGATTCTTACATTTTTAATAATATTTTTAAGCAGATCCTCTGTAAAATCCTTCTGAAAGCACAACTGCAGAAACTCAGCTCCAGTGTACACAAGCGCATGGTGTTTACTCATCAACATTCTAGTACCTAAGTAAAAGGGAAGGGCACACTCCTGAGAGTGAATAAGCAACTGCAGACAGAAGTTTACTTTCAGGTGATTTCACTCAGGCAGCAAATCCTCCCCCTACTTTTTTCTTTAATTCCCTAGTGATTGAACCACTGTATGAACTAAGGAAAATTCCCAGAGTGCAGCGCAAAGAGAAAAAGAGAGAAAACAAAAGCTAAGCTCACGGAGGATAGATCCAGCATGCTACTATGGAGTTCAAGATTACATACTTGGAAATTTCCAAGAGAGTAGATTTTAAGTGTTCTCACTACAAAAAAAAAATGTGAGATAATACAGATGTTAATTAGCTCTTTTTAGCCATTCTACAATATAGACATATGTTAAAACATCATGCTGTACACCATAAATACAAGTTTTGTCAATGAAAAAAATTTGACAAGATTAATGTGTTGGAAAAACCTCTGGAAAATGTAATTGGGAAGAAAAACTAAGAAATAAGATTATTATAATAATTATAACAATAAAAATAAATATGATATAAAAAGAATATTCCATACATGAGAAAATATTCATGCTATTTTTAGTGGAAGAAGCCAGTGTACAAAATAATATAGGTTAATTTTTTAAAGGAAATTTTAAAAAAGACTATCAACAAATTGGCTACAATATTTCTAAAAAAATGGTGGAGACAAGAGAGAGAATAACAAAGAGAAACTATTTGATTATATAATTGCTGAGAAATTCCTAGATCATAAGAAAGACAGGAATTTCAGTTAAAAATGCTCATTGAGTTCTAAGGAGACATTTTTACAAATACTACAACAAGGATAAAGAAAAATTCTAAAAGTTATCAGAAAGAATAAAATGATTATAGGTAAAAAAGAGTGAAAATCAGATTGGCATCAGATTTCTCATAAGCAATGCCGGATGTAAGAAAACAAAATCGTATCTTCAAAGTGATGAGAGAAAAGAATTTTGGCTCTAGAATTCTATAACCAAAGTATTAATCAGCAATCAACAATCAATTATCAATCTATAATCAAATTATTGATCACCAATCAGTAAAATAAAAATGTTTTCAGACACAAAGTAAATGACTCTGAAACATCACCACTCAAAGTCACCCATTGGAACAAATAAGAAAAAACTACTAAAGAATGTACTGAACAAGAACTAATACACATACAGAAGAAGTAATGCAGTATAAGAAGCAATGATGATGAAATAAATCAGTAAAGCTTATGAGTAAATCTAAACAAGGGTTTATTAAAAAATAGTTTGATGTATTTGATTATAAAATGGTATAAAAATTCCAGACACGAGATGTGGGTAGAGGGAGGGAGGGGCAGGCTTACGGTGACAGGGTGGGGCCCACACCAGCGTTACAAGTAGAATATGTTGCTAAGAACCTCTGCCTCTGGCTATGGCAAAACTGCTTGCCTCTGATGACTCCTCCGAGTGAGAATAAGTAAAAATGCTGCATAAAATATTTTTAATGTATTTTAAAGCATCGGAGAACTATCACGCTAGGGAGGATTTGCAGGGCCAAGATCCCAGACACTAAGGAGGCCCAGAAGTGTGAGCACAACATTTGGCACCACACTTGGCATCACCTTTTCGCTCAAGGCATTTTCCAGTTTGCAAGTGGTGACTGAGCGGCTGAGAAGCTGGCAGACCTGTCATCAGACTCATGGAACAGAGGGAGCAAACACCGGAGCTCAAGGCCTGCCAAGGTGGGGCTGTTGGTAGAAATCCCAGGCTCGCAAGTGGGACCCCAGAAGGCTCTGTTTTACATATAAAAGTAAACTGGAAATAGACCAGCCTTTAAAGGGAATAAAGCCCAGGTTCAAATTATTTCAATTTCTTGTTGGATGAAGGAGTTTCGTTCCTAACCTAGCTGTCTTCTAGAGGCAAAAATAGTTGCAGCCAAAATAGCCCAATTGGGAGAGAGTTAGACTGAAGATCTAGAAGCAAAAAATAATCTTCTCTCGAATTATATCTACAACCTTTCCTCTACAATACACAGCACACAGTTTAAAAATAACTAGACATACAAAAAATAAAATTTAACAACTAAAAAAGTGAAAAAATAGATACTATAAACATAATATTTATATCCGGGTATTGGTGTTAACTGATAAAAACTTAAAAACTTAAGTATATCACTACTACTGCCTGCAACCCCAGCCTTGGCTTCATGTCTCATTCCCCTGATGGAGGAGCCCAGCAACAGCTTACGCTGCGGTCATAAAACATCAGGGTTGGCACAGAGCTTTTGCTTTGGGCTCTGTTTTTTAGAGAACCTGGACTAAGATACTATGATTAAAATGTTCAAGAAATTAAATGATAAGATGGGGAATTTCACTGGAAATGAAGCTATAATAAAAATAAAATGGAAATTCCAGAAATAAAAAGTGCAATAACTCAAATCAATATCTCAATGGATTAATTTAACAGTAGATTAGAGTTTGGCAAGTATTTTCTTAAAGAGCCAGATAGCAAACATTTTAGGTTTTCAGGCTACGTGGTTTCTGTTGCAACTAGTCCACTCTGCTGGCGTAGTGCAAAAGTAGACATCAACAATAAGTAAACAAATGGGGGAGGCTGTGTTCTAATAAAACTTTATTTACAACAATGGGTGGATGGCTTGCTGGCCATAATCTGCTTCCCCCTGAATTACAGATAGCTGAGTAGAAAATCAGTAACATGACAGAAGAGAAGAAAGTGGAAACTAGATATATCAGATAACAGTAAAGGTGTAATTGTAGTCCGAGAAAGAGAAACAAAAAGCTTAGGTCAGAAGCTACTCTGAAGAGGTGATAAATGAGAATCTGTCCAAAACTGATGGTAGATATCAAGCCACAGATTCATGAGGCATCATGAACCTCAAGCTGAAGAAAGCCACTAATTACATCACAGCCAAATTGATGAAAGCTAAATACAAAGAGAAAACACTTAAAAGCAGACAAAGAAAATAAGACACATTACCTTCTAAGGAACAAAAATAAGACTGACAGCTGACTTCTCAAGAGAATAAACGGAAGCCAGAAGACAATGTAGAGATATCTTCAAAGTGCTGAAAGGCAACAGTTTCACAATGATAAAAGGGTCAATTCACTAGGTAGATGTCATGATTCTACATGTGAATGTACCTAACAACTTAGCCTCAAAATGTATAATACAAAATGCACAGTCACAGTGGTAGTTTTAGCACCTATCTCACGGTAAAGTAGAATAAGCAGACAAAAGTCAGGAAGGTTATAATTTTGAATGACACGAAATAGTAAACATGACCTATTTGACACATGTAGAACATTGTATCCAACAATGAAGACTATACATCACATTCTTCCAAAATGTGTTATTTTCTGAGCTACAAACCAAGTTTTAGAAATTCCAAAAGATAGAAATTATATGGAATATGCTCTTTGACCACAGTAGAATTAAGCTTTAAAGATAAATCATAAAAAATTACTAAAATATTTCCACATGCTTTGATTTTATACACTCTTTGACTTATTATTTAGAAGTATAACTATGAAAATTACACAATAATATAACCGAGTGATGAAGGAAAACATTTCATATCAAAATTTGTGAAATTAAACATAAGGCATTGTTTAAAAGATATTTATAGACTTAAATTAATATGTTATAAAAAAGAATAAAAATCAATGACATAAACATCTATTTGAAGAAGTTAGAAAAAGAACAGCATACTGAATCCAGAGAAACTAGAAAGATGAACATTGTATTATAATAAATATAGGAGCAGACATTAATGACAGGAAAGAAAACTACATTTAAAAAGAGCTATAAAGCCAAAAGTTGTTTCTGTGAGAAGTCTAATAGAATTGATAACCCTCCAACATGACTCATCAAGGAAAAAAGGAAGTAGGCACAATAACCAATATCAAGAATGAGAGGGAGGACTCACTACAGAGGCAAAGATTTCTTAATCGGGATACAAACAGCACTAAGCATAGAGTTAAAGATTGATACACTATACTATGATAAAGTTGAGAACTTTTATATAGGGAAACTTGAGAGCCCTGAATACATTCAATAGAGAAAAATATGAAAATAGAACAAATGAAGAATTCAGCTCTAGAAGCTAAAAATATAACACCAAAATAAACCCATGTAAAGGTAAAGAAATAAAAATTAAAATTTCTATAAATAGAAATATTTAAAAAAAACACCTTTCAGTTAATCACCAAAATTAAAATCTAGTCCTTAGATATTTCAGAGACAATATCTGGATGGTTTGAACAAAACAAAAGTTAGACAAGGAACCAATAAACAAGTTTAGTAATGAAAGAGACGTAGTTATAGGTGCACAGTTTTTTTATTTAATGATAAGGAATACTATGGTTACATTTGAAAAGTTAACTTTGAAAAATTAGATGAATTAGACACTTCTCTAGAAAAATGTAAACTGCAGAATTGGCTCAAAAAATAAGACTAAGAGAAACTGAAATTGCTTCTAAGTACTCTCCATTACTAACA